CTGGACTCTTCAGTTCAGGACGAAAACACACCACCGGTAGTCGGAAATGCGGACGCTTCACTCTCACCTGGCGTACTCGACTTCCTTGATAGTCTGGTGCGTGAGCAGTTAGCACCGGAACTGTATGGTTTTGTGCAGCGACTGAAGCTTAAGGCCGGCTCCTGGTGCCCCACCGGTGATATGACTACTTCCACAGGAGGCCGTCAACTACGTCGTCGCTACACACCCGAGGATATTGCAGCCTACCTGGACGAGAAACCGGAGTTGGGCGAGGAGGTGCAGGGGGATGAGGGTGGCGAGAATGCAGTTATCAGGCGGCCACCCCCTCCTCTGTTGCCCCCACATCCAGCCGAGTACTCTGCCTCACTGACACCCATTATGGATTTTGTGAGGTCGCTTTGCGAGGTTAGGGTCCTTTCATCTCCATGGCATGCACAGTATTTGATCTTAAACATGCTTTTGCTTTGAAAACAGTAGGTTGCTGTAGGCTATGTAGTCCCACCGAGAAAACTGAAGGCAAGGACTTCGGGGATAGGGAACTTGTGGTAGTAAGGGTTTGTATGGGTGCCGTAAAAGAAACTGAAGCAAAAGTTTAAAGTGCGTATTTACGTCATTGACCTGTCTAAGCATACTAATAAAGCGTAGGGAACAAGCGTGCAACTTGAACTACTGAAAATTAGGAATTTTAGGCTAGAGGGGATATGAAAACCAAAGGCATTCGTTGGATATTCCAAGTGAACTGATCCCTGCCTCGTTGAAAAGTCACATAGAAAAAGAATTTGAAGAATATACCGTTAAATCTGATTCTCGTTATGGCCGCGACTTAAGGTGTAAGTAAAGTTGACTACGTGAATGGCCTAGCCCCCCTAACCCTAAACCTTTTTCGAAGTTAAATGCTAAGCCCTATCCCAATCCTAGTTCTAACTCCCAAGTTTAACTCACCCTAACCTTTAATGCTAAGTCTAACCCTAGTCTCTAATCTTGCGCCGAACACTAATGGGTACTCGTGAGAGATGTATAACGTTCAATGAATGAAAGGGGAGGGGAATTTAATTTGCTGCGAAATCAGAAATGCTATCACGAGGCTCAGGTTAATAAGGATAAGGATAAGGCAGGAATAATACAAGAAGTAGTGATTGCAAATCAAATGACCTGACGGCCAGCAGATCCTACGTGCAAGCTTTTAAGCATGGGTTATACACGTTCCGTAAAACAATCGGATCGTTTTAAAGTCAACATTGTCTGGCACCTCGGCACAAATTAACCTTAGCCAAATAACTAGGTAAGGTCATGTGTCCCATCGTCCTCAAACATTATGTACTCGCGGCTGTATAGAACATGGCACCGCAGTCGAGAAGTACAACCGTCAAAGAACAAGACTGGCTCACTTTTTGTCATCAAGCTGTTCTAATTCAACCGCAGACCGTAAAGACGGGTGGTTTAAACGCGTCTTTTTCAGCTACTTGTGGCTAACACCCTTTCTGAGAATCTTAATTTTTACTTACGTAGTATGAATTCCTACGGTCATTTTTTGCGAGTGACCAACTGCACGAAAAAGGGTCACTGTGTACGCAATTGCACACTCTTGAAATGTGATGTGTTGGGATGGCCCGGACGCGAGTTATCACTCGGGCAATCCGGAGAATGCCAGAGCAAAGAGTCCTTACTGACGACCGGTTCATGTAGTTACAAGCGACCTTCAAGGGCGGACATTAGGCCAGGCCAAAGAAGGCACGCGAAGTCAGACTGCCCCAGAAGCCGGGTTGCTGATATCAGTGAGGTCATGCTGAGGACAGATGCCAGATGTGCGTAAGTGAGCGTGCGCACGATGACAATGGAGAGCCAATGGGGAGCAATGACGACCTCCCCTTAAATAGCGAGGTTGCAAGCAGAACGGGGACTCTGCTGTGGGACACGCTGCCGACGACCCGAGACTGCTACCGAAACGAGACCGACCACAAAAGGCAAGCTGCTGGACACACGGAGCAGAGTTGG